GTATTTGGCTTAGGGATTGGTGTGTTTCTGGTTGTACGAAGGATAGTTGTATTATGTTAGGTATAATTATGACTTTATTATTGTCTTTATTTGAAGATCATGTACGATCTCAGGAGATGTGCATGGGCTCAAGTTGACAAAGGGTAGACCTGTGATGGTTAATACTGAGTGTCAACTTGATTGGATTGAAGGATACAAAGTATTGATAATGGGTGTGTCTATGAGAGTATTGCCAAATAGATTAATATGTGAGTCGGTGGTCTGGGGCACAATCTAATCAGTGCCAGTAAATATAAAGCAGGCAGAAAAACATGAAAAAGAGAGACTGGCCTAGCCTCCCAGCAGCCTACATCTTTTTCCCATGCTGGGTGCTTGCTTCCCTTGAACACTGGACTCCAAATTCTTCAGTTTTGAGATTCAGACTGGCTCCCCTTGCTCCTCAAGCTTTTAGACAGCCTATTGTGGGATCTTATGATTGTGTAAGTTAATACTTAATAAACTGGTCTTTATATCTATTATATAATCTTATATACATATTATATATATTAATATGTATAAACTGCCCTTTATTATATATTAAACTATATATGTTATATATAGTTAAATATATATTATATAGTTGTTGTGTGACAATAATATAACTATATATATTATATAGTTGTGTGACTATGTATATATTAGTTAACTATATATAACTAGAGTTAATATATAATATATATAAAGGGCAGTTTATACATATTAATATATTAGTTAACTATATAGTTAATATATATATAATATATACATAATATATATATAAGGTAGTTTACATCCTATTAGTTCTGTTCCTCTAGAGAACCCTGCCTAATATATCATTAGAATGAGACCCTGTCTAAAAAAAAGAAGAGAGTCCTTTGATTTTGCTCTATTTTTTCAGCATCTTTTTGGCTATTCTGAACTTCTTACAATTTTGTATGAATTTAAGGATTGTCTTTTCCATTTCTGTATAAAAGTTTTGATAGGACTGTGTTGCATCTATAGATTGCTTTAAATAGTATTGACATCTTAACCTTAAAAACAATAAGTCTTCCTATCCATGATTACAGGATATATTTCCATTTATTCAAGTCTTTTTAAAAATTTCTTAAAGCAATACTTTTATCTTCTTGGTTAAATTTATTCCTATGTATTTTATTCTTTTGGATGCTATTATAAATGTAATTGTTTCCTTAATTTCCTTTTTGATCTGTTCATTGCTGGTGTATAGAAACACCAGCTTGTTGCTCTTATACCCTACAACTTAGCTGAATTTGTTTATTTGCTCTAGTTTTCTTTTTTTTTGGTGGGGGGTGGTCAAGAGGGGTGGATTCTTTGGGATTTTTAAATATGAATAGGATTATGTAATTATGAATAGAGATAGTTTTACTTTATTTCTAATTTGGATGCTTTTTATTTCATTTGACTGCCTAATTGATCAGTCTACAACTTTTAGTACAGTATTGAATAGCCGTGGTGAAAACGGGCATCCTTGTCTTGTTGCTGATGTTTAGGAGAAAGCTTTCATTACTTTCATTTTTGAATATGATGTTAGCCATGGGTTTTTCATAAATATACCTTATTCTGTTGAGGAATTTCACTTCTATTCCTAGTTTTCTGAGTTTTTTTTTTTTTTAATCATGAAAGCATGTTAGATTTTGTCATTCCTTTTCAGTATCAATTGTGGGATCATGTATGCAATAACTTTTCTGTTAATTAGGTGTGTTGGCATTGATTGATTTTTTTTGTTTTGTTTTGTTTTTTTGAGACGGAGTTTTGCTCCTTACCCAGGCTGGAGTGCAATGGCTCGATCTCAGCTCACCGCAACCTCCGCCTCCTGGGTTCAGGCGATTTTCCTACCTCAGCCTCTTGAGTAGCTGGGATTACAGGCACGTGCCACCATGCCCAACTAATTTTTTGTATTTTTAGTAGAGACGGGGTTTCACCACGTTGACCAGGATGGTCTTAATCTGTTGACCAAGTGATCCACCCGCCTCAGCCTCCCAAAGTGCTGGGATTACAGGCTTGAGCCACCACGCCCAGCCTGGCATTGATTGATTTTCTAATGCTGAACCATCTTTGTGTTCCTGGGATAAATCCCACTTAGCCATGATGTGTAATCCATTCAGTATGCTGTTGAATCTGTTTTGCTAGTATTTTGTTGAGGATTTTTGCATCTGTGAACTACCCATACTACCCTACTTGAGGCTACACTGTTGGCCATTCATTCCTTTGATAGCTGTTATTGTTAACTCCTTTCTTCCCAAAATACTCTTGGTGTTTCTGAGGCAGTATGCACTCCTGGTTTTTTCTCTCATTTCTAGGCATTTCTCTGCCTACACTGTAGATCCATCCTCTGTTCATCCTTTAAGTGTTAGTGTATCTCAGGGATCCTTTTGAGCCTTTGAATGATCTCATCCACATCTGAACTTTTTATTTTTTGTAGAGATGGAGTCCTACTATGTTGCCCAGGCTTGTTTCGAACTAGTGGCCTCAAGTAATCCTCCCACCTCAGTCTCCCAGAGTGCTAGGATTAAAGGCCACCTTGCCAGTGCCACACTCAAACTTTTATATACTTAACTCCCAAGTCACTGGCTCTGGATAAGGCCCCCTCTCTGATTTAATGCAGAGCCACCTCTTGAACAGCTCCACTGCATTGTCCCATGGGTATCCCAGCACCCAACGGAACTCACACATTTTTCATGTTTGGGCCTCTGTTTACCTGTCCAAAGGCTACCAAAGTTGTTCAGGGCCATTTCAGTCTTAAGGAAAGAATGCTTTGCATTCAGTTCAAATCTGGGTTATGGCTGGACACAGTAGCTCATTCCTGCAATCCTAGCACTTTGGGAGGCCAAGGAGAGAGGATTGCTTGAGACCAGAACTTTGAGACCATCCTGGGCACCATAGCAACACCTCATCTGTACAAAAAATTTTAAAAATTAGCCAGGCATGGTGGCTTTCACCTGTAGTCCCAGCTACTCTGGAGGCTAAGGGGAGGATCACCTGCCCCAGAGGTCAAGGCTGCAGTGAGCTATGATGGCACCACTGTACCTATCTCAAAATAAATAAATAAATAAGTAAAAATAAAAACAAATCCGAGTTATGCTGGCTTCTAGCTCTGTGTACTTGATTGGATTCCTTAGCTTCTTCCTTGTGTCTCTGCTGCCTCATTTGTAAAGTGGGAATGATAATACTTGGTATTAGGATGAATGTGACCCATATTAAGTTCTAAGTGAACTGTATCTCTTTAGTGATAGTATTGCTCGAGACTGTGGGGATACTGTGCAAAGGCATGGAAAGTAATACCAAGTTGACCATTGTTTCTGCTGACCCTGAATTTTGTGGTTTCACCCAGTGTCTGCCTGAGAACTTGATTAGCAGAAATCAGATGAAAACTGGAGCCTTACTCTAGGAATCCTACTGGGTTTAATCTGCAGATTTATCTCTATAGCAAAATCTTTTTGTTTTAATAATTAAGCCCCCCTTGGCTGGTGATCCAAATTGGATGTTATTCTGCTATACAGAAAACAGTATTTATTAATGTGTTTTTATACTTGATGCTTAAGGTGTTCATCCACTGATTTTCACTTAAATAATTGAGCTTTTCTGTTCCCTCTGTCTCTGTGCTTAAAATCTTGGCTTTACCATTCATGAAAGAGAATGGAAAATATATCCATTAAGAATCAGATTGGCCAGGCACGGTGGCTCATGCCTGTAATCCTAGCACTTTGGGAGGCCGAGATGGGCGGATCACCTGAGGTTAGGAGTTCAAGACTAGCCTGGCCATCATGGTGAAACCCCATCTTATTAAAAAAAAAAAAAAAAAAAAATTGAAGAATCAGATTGGCCAGGCGCGGTGGCTCATGCCTATAATCCCAGCACTTTGAGAGGCCGAGGCGGGTGGATCACGAGATCAAGAGATCGCGACCATCCTGGTCAACATGGTGAAACCCCGTCTCTACTAAAAATACAAAAATTAGCTGGGAATGGTGGTGCCTGCCTGTATTCCCAGCTACTCGGGAAGCTGAGGCAGGAGAATCGCTTGAAACCAGGAGGCGGAGGTTGCCGTGAGCGGAAATCGTGCCATTGCACTCCAGCCTGGGTAACGAGAGCGAAACTCCGTCTCAAAAAAAAAAAAAAAAAAAAAAAAAGAATCAGATAAGAATTTGTTAAAAGAGATAGCTTGGAAATCTCTATATTTAAGTACTTTTTAGCAGTGCTTTGAAATGATTAATTGCTTTGTTTTAAATATTGGTAAGACACTATAGATGAAATATATATTTCTTCGGCACTGCCTGGAAAAAAGAAAAAAGAAACTATATATATATATAATTTTCATATTTAAAAATAGTTTCAACAATTATTAAAGCTATTAATACCTGAACTCCTAATCAAAATCAAAGAAATTTTTAGTTTGAATAAGGCATTGGGATGGAAAATTTACTGTGTTTTTAAGGCTCCCTATAAGCTTAAAAATTAAGTGACAATTTTATGTGGCTTTTTTGCTAAATTCACTTTTAAAATAACTTAAAAATCACACTTTATTTTTCTTTCAAATCTTTTTTTCCTAATCTTTTAAAATAAGGAAAGGCGTCTCTGCCTTGGGTACTATAATTGTATTCAAGTTTTTGCGACTCCGTTCAAAAGAGTAGTATTTTGTAAGCTCTACCTGGACAGGTGGGCCTCAAGGAGATGGCTGTGAGATGCCGGTTTTCACGCCATAGACCCGTCAGCGCTCAGACGGTTACAGACGCGGATGGCCTCTGTCCGGAGCGGGGGAGCCGCGTCCTCAGGAAGCCACAGGGGCCGGAGGGTGCGGGCTGGCGGACGGGTCGCAGAGGTCGGGCAGCGCCGGCTCCGCCCGCAGGGGCGGCACCGACCCGGCTTCCCCCGAGCCCGCCCTCTGCGCCTGGTGCCCCCGCGGCCTCGGCGGCGGCTGCTCCCGGTGATGCAAACCCTCACTTCCCGCATCCGCTTCCCCACAGAGCCCGCGGAGCCGGCGGGAGCCGCGCACACAGCCCCGACGTGCGCCATGGGCAACATCCAGAAGAAGCTGAGCAGCAAAGCCGAGGGCGGCAAGCGGCCGGCCAGGGGTGCGCCGCGGCGGGGCCAGACCCCGGAGGCCGGCGCGGACGAGCAGAGCCGGCAGCGGGCCTCGGCGGGGGCGGGCGGCGGTGCCAACGGGCATCCGAGCGGCGGGCGGGGCGAGGGGGACCCCGTTGCGCCTCCGCCTGCCGCCCTGGTCAGCCCCGCCAGCCTGAAGAGCCAGGGCAACGAGCTGTTCCGAAGCGGGCGGTTCGCCGAGGCGGCCCACGAGTATTCGGCGGCAATCGCGCTCCTGGAGCCGGCCGGTAGGTGCGCCGCGCCCTGCGGCTTCCTGGGCCCCTGGCGCTGCGGTTCACCCGACCCCCAGGGCCCCGAGGGAGAGGCGTCGCCGTCTCCTGAATGACAGGCGCCAGCATCGCTGCATTCCTCCCAGGTGACTAAGAGCGCTGTGCCACCTGACCTCAGTGAGCAGCGCCCTGGAATGCGGGCATGTGCCTGGCCAGGCACGTTTACCTCCATTCCCGCCGGGCTTTCCCTTGGTGGCTATTGTGGGTAGCAGCCCCGTGTAGCTCTGCGTGATCAGTCTGCAGGACTGCAGTGCCACCGGGGACCTCGGGCGTCTTTTAATTCTGGTGAACTGTGATCTTGCTAATGGATTTTAACTGTATTTAATTACCTGTGATTTTAGGAAGTGAAAGTGCAGATGATCTAAGTATCTTATATTCAAATAGAGCAGCATGTTACCTAAAAGAAGGAAACTGCCGTGGCTGCATTCAAGATTGTAACAGGTAAACTGCACCTTTTCAGGTTTGTCAAGAGATTGTTATAATTTCATTGTGGTGAATGCAAGATCCTACGTTTTCTGCCTAAAGGTCTAATTTCTTAAGAGTTTTATGATATGTTAATTGATTGATGCATACAAATCATAAATTATCTCATGTATATGAAGAGGTTATAGAAGATTGTGCAAACTTTTTTCATTTCCACTGCTACCGTTCTAATTCGTGCGCTTTCTGTATCATTCCTAGACTACTGGAGAAGCCTAATAACTAGTTCCAATCCACTGTGGCATCAGAATAACTTTCCTGATACATTATTTTGTTCAGATTGTTTCACACAGGCCTTTAATGGCTCAGTATTGGCTTTGAAATAACTGCAGATTTCTTTGTCACCACACTGCCCCCAAGCAAGTTTCTATTTCCATCTGGTCTACTGGACCACTTGCTTACTCTTGCCCACCCTGTTCTCTGAGCCCTTGCCCATGTTGCCCCCAATGGTGGTAATACCCTTTGTACCACCTTTGGACAAGACCATGTGAAGTTGATGGATACCAAGCTGGTTGTGATTTGCAGCCAACATCCTTACAACTCAAGTGTCTGTTTCTAATACATTACCCTTCAGACTTGTTTCTTTGCTTCTGAAGTTCCTGCTCCGCAACCCCCTCTCTCTACCTCCTTGGGTTCCCCAGACTTCCTGGTCATCTGCAGGTCTGTAACATCTACACTGACACCTGGTCACACCTCTAAGTTTTGTTATCCACTGAAGGGGGTTTAAACACATTGAAGTGATCACTGTACGTATTTATGGGGTGCCGAGTGATGCTTCAATATATATGATGTGGCCAGACACAGTGCCTCATGCCTGTAATCCCAGCACTTTGGGAGGCCGAGGTGGGCAGATTGCTTGAGGTCAGTTTGAGACCAGCCTGGCCAACATGGTGAAACCCCATCTCTACTAAAAATACAAAAATTAGCCGGGCATGGTGGCGCACATCTATAATCACAGCTACTTGGGAGGCCGAGGTAGGAGAATCACTTGAACCCGGGAGGCAGAGGTTGCAGTGAGCCGAGATCCCACCACTGCACTCCAGTCTGGGTGACAGACAAGAGACTCTGTCTCAAATATATATATATATTTGAAACTATGTATCATTGTTAACTATAGTAATCCTACAGTGCTATAGAATACTAGAACATGTGCCTTCTAGGTAGCTAGCTGTAATTTTGTATCCTTTGACACATCTCTGCCTGTATCACCCCCACTCTCTTCCCCCTACCCTTCCCAACCTCTGGTATCCTCTGAGGGACCATGTCTTATACAGCTTTGTACCCCATCGAAGCATAGTATTCACCCATGGTACTCAATAAGTTACCTGCCTGGATGGTAAATATCTACATAAATAAAACATTGTTTCCCACCATTAAGTAATAAAAAGCACTTTGGCAAGAAGCTACTATTAGTACATGTGAAAAATAAGAAGGCATGTCCTACTTTGACTGACACAGCCCTGGCGTACTTCCGTTATCTCATATAACATCCTCAGAAACTCTAGTTTGGACAGTAAATTATGTGGACACTGTTTATAAGGTGAGTAATTTGTTATTGTTTTCATGGAGCAGTATCAGTTTATTGATATGGGTAAAGCTTGCTAGTATCTGTACCTAAGTTTAAAAAGAAGGCCTTGAGGCACTTGAATTTTTGGCCAGTTTTACATATTTAAATTTGAAATGAATAATACTTATATTTTCTTTGGCCTGACATCAGACCACATCCTCAGTTGTGCTGGCTCACTACACTCGCTAATCATTACATTTTTCAGGATTTTGTGAGCTGGTTGATGTCAAGTTGATATTTTGAAATCTGTCATGGTGGGATACCATTTAATACTATGAAAGAAACAAATGCCACAAATCTGGGCTTCACCCCCACCCTTTTTCTTTACCCAGAGAGCCAGTTGTTAAGGACATTTACTAGTGCTCTTAACAGACAAGACCATGTGAAGTTGTTGGATACCAAGCTGGTTGTGATTTGCAGCCAACATCCTTACAACTCAAGTGTCTGTTTCTAATACATTACCCTTCAGACTTGTTTTAGACCTTTCCACAGTGAGGAAGGCCAGGACACTTTAGTTAAAACTTGAGACCCCTAACGTTAGAGCTGCTGCAAAAGAGTGGTTTGCATTGTCTTACATGAGATCCTCTAAGGTAATGAACATTTACTGGCTAAAATTTGCTGTGTTTCATTGTAGACCCAGGAGGAAGTCAAGGATGGGACTCCAGCCAGGGAGACTAGAGTGAGGGCTTGTCCTGGGGGAGGGCAGGAGACGGCCTGACCGAGAGGGAAGTGAGTATGGGTTTAGGTAGGTTGTGCTAATGTAAGAGCTGTTTTTTAGGCAAGGAATCTGGCTCTGCTGGTCAGTGCTGACTCCTTTAGAGACTGACCTACTCAGATGTTTTCTTTGATAGGTGGCCTACCAGTCCCAGTGTAAGAGAAATGGAGATGTGGCCCAGCAGGGGGTGATTTTACTCTAAAGCAGTGATTCTCAATCTTGTTTTAATGCCAGAGAAGCTACACTGTGCTTCTGTGAACATCTTTTCAGCTCAAGTAACTATATTTTCACTTTACCTCAAACAGATTGCATACATATTAAAGGAAAAGTTAATTTTTTTAGGTTTTCAGTTAATTATCTTTGGAGAGTTCCATGAGTTCCTTTTTATTTTATTATTATTATTTTTTAAATTTGAGCCTGAGTCTTACTCTGTCCCCAGGCTGGAGTGCAGTGGCACAATCTCGGCTCACTGCAACCTCTGCCTCCTGGGTTCAAGTGATTCTCCTGCCTCAGCCTCCCCAGTAGCTGGGCTTACAGGCATGCGCCACCACGCCCAGCTAATTTTTTATATTTTTTGTAAAGAAGGGTTTTCACTGTGTTGCCCAGGGTGGTCTTGAACTCCTGACTTCAAGTGATCCGCCTACCCTGGCCTTCCAAAGTTCTGGTATTACAGGTGTGAGCCACTGCGCCCGGCCCACAAGTTCTTATTAGCAGGTAAGTGGTATCGGGAGTCAAACACTGTAAAAAAGAATTGCAAAATTTAAAATAAGGGGGAAAAATCTTACCTATGAAAATAATTTTTTAGATGCATTTTGGAAAAAACTACCATTTGATTTTAAATGTTTTACTCCTGAGGAGCCTTGGTTGTTTTTCAGGCATGTATTTGGAGAGTGGCCATTGGGATTGTGGGGTGGGGAGGAGGCGAGGTTTGAAGAGCTTGAAGATCTCTAAGCCCAGCCTCTCCTCTCACTGTAGCATCTCCATGGCTGTCTTTTAGAACTTCAGGTGAAGCATGAGAAGGGGTTGTGATGGTTAAGTTTGAAAGCCATCATTTTACAACTTTTAAAATTCTCATAATTGTTTATAAACTAAAAAAACTTCACTTTTCTCATCTATCAGAACTGTTTTGGTTTATCTAACCCACACCAAAAATCTTTTGGTGACTTTCCATTGAGGACGTTTCAACAGACAAATTCAACAAATGAATGTTGCCTAGTAATTCTCTGCTTTTTCTTTTCTTTGAGACAGCGTCTTGCTCTATCACCCAGGTTGGAGTGCAATGGCATGATCTCAGCTCACTGCAGCCTCTGCCTCCTGGGTTCAAGTGATTCTTGTACCTCAGCATCCCAAGTAGCTGGGATTACAGGTGTGCATCACCTCACCCAGCTAATATTTTGCATTTTTTCAGTAGAAACAGGGTTTTGCCATGTTGGCCAGGCTGGTCTTAAACTCCTGGCCTCAAGTGGTCTGCCAGCCTCCCAAAGTGCTGGGATTACAGGCTTGAGCCTGGGTGCCTGGCCAGTTCTCTGCTTTTCCTTATCTTTGCTACTCTCTCACAGACTTGAAATAGGAAGATTCTTTAGGGTCTTAACTGTGTTAATTTGAATAGACAGCTGCTTTTGTAAGCTCTGCTTCAAAAGTTCTCTGTGCTTATTTTTATGCATAGTTTTTTCCTTAATGGAATTTCCATTCATAAATTCATATCCACTTTCAGGATTGTGGTTAAAGAAAAAGAAATCTTGCATTCACTGGGCTAGAAAGTGCTAAAAATTAAATACATCATCTCATCAAGTTTAGATCCCAAGCTTGGCTTAAGGCCATCTTGAATAGATAAATGGCACCTTGGTCACTGGAAGTCTTCTGTGAAGTGAAGGTTGTCACATGGTTGTGACTCTCTCTGCTCATAGAGTTAATATCACCTAAACAATAAACTAAGCTAAATTTAAGGCAGTGGCATAGGTGACAGATCCTGATGCCCACGGATCTACTGTCTAGTGTTTAAATATTTTTACTTGATTTAAATTTTATGTTTTAAATAACATTTGCTGTTAAAAAAAATAACCTATTATAGAAACTTAAGAAAAAACTGGGACGGCACAAAGATGATCATTAAAATCACGCACAATCCTAACACCTAGGCATAGTGAAATTGGTTATTTTTTCTGAGAAGTGAAATGGATTAGGTTTAACAGCTTTTCTTTTCTTTTTTTTTTTTTTTGAGATGGAGTTTCGCTCTTGTTACCCAGGCTGGAGTGCAATGGCGCGATCTTGGCTCACCGCAACCTCCGCCTCCTGGGTTCAGGCAGTTCTCCTGCCTCAGCCTCCCGAGTAGCTGGGATTACAGGCACGCGCCACCATGCCCAGCTAATTTTTTGTATTTTTAGTAGAGACGGGGTTTCACCATGTTGACCAGGATGGTCTCAATCTCTTGACCTCGTGATCCACCCACCTCGGCCTCCCAAAGTGCTGGGATTACAGGCGTGAGCCACCGCGCCCGGTTGACAGCTTTTCTAGAACAGTTTCTATGATATGCCGGAAGGGCTCCCACAAGTGCAGCTGAGTATCTGTTATGATGTGGGAGTGGTCTTAGTGGCAGATGACTCAGAGTTCCTTCATTTGCACTGTTTCTGTGTGGGTTGCGGTAGGCAGAGTGTAGGCTCTGAGGGTTCACAGAGAAGTTTGCCAAGTGCCTCTCATGACCCAGACATTGATCTAGGACTGGGAATATAGTGTTGCTCAGGACAGGCAATGCCCTTGGCCTTCACAAAGCTCATATTCGAAAGAACTGACCTGGGGCCCATTACTCCTCATGTCTGTTTCTTCATCCACATAATGAACATACTAATATTTACCTTACAGGTTTGTTGTGAGATTAGATGGGGAAATCTGCAGTGACTAGCCCATAGCAGATACTCTGTCAGTGTTTCCTCATTGCCAAATCATTGTCAATAGGAATAGGTAGCAGATTTCTAAGACTATTGGGGGGAAAAAAAAGGCTAAAGAAAGCGGCCCTCGCTCATGGTCTCCCAGAAAGTTAAATATTTGATATATTAACTGCTTATAGCATGAGTTGAAAGAATAAATCCACAATCTTCAATGTGGACAGTCTGGTGCAGATGCTGGTTAGTAGGTTATATAGAAAGGAGGGTCTTCACAGGATCTCTGCATGGAGGACTTCTTTGCAGCTTCTGTTGATTTTGTTAAAACCAAGAGTACTATAGTGTTCATTCATAAATACAGATGGTCCTTAACTACAGTGGTTAACTTCTGTTTTTTTTTTTTTTTTTAATTTTTTATTTTACCATGGTTTGAAAGGGATACACAACCACAAGGTTTTAGTCTTTAAGCATTGGTGATTCTTTAACCAAAGATTCTGGGCTGACTTTGGACTTAACATACTTTCAGTTTACACTGGGATTATTGGGACATAACCATATTGTAAATCGAGGATTATATGTACAGTTTTTTATTGTTTTACTTGAGAATATAATGAGGTACGTTAAATACTGAAGTAGCTTTAAACACTTACTTCAAACAAAACCAAAAAACACAACCATGAGATACATCTTTAGTGATATTGGAAACACTTCATAGACTAAAACGTGCAAGATGAAAATTCATGATGTAGAAGGAATCATTGTATGTTTAGTTCCTTGATCCCCTTTTGGTCTGTTTTAGAGACCCTTTTGCAACAAGTGAATCATAAACTGTAGTAAGTTTTAGAGTGCCAGTTTTCAAAATGGGATGCAACTTTTATGGTTCTGTACTTTATTATTAAATACATAGTTGCAAATAAGAATTTTCTTTTTAATCTGTCAACGGCAAGAATCTGTTGAAACCCTGCTCTGTGCCTCCAGTCATGCTGCTCTGTTAGGGCACTGGGGAGGCCAGGGAACGCTGCCAGGGAGCTCACGGCTCAGTGAGAAAGAGTCAATGCAAGTGCTTTGATACTGGCTTAAAAGAAAGGAACACAAGTTTGATTGCTCTGTTACTCTGCGTTTGCCTTCCTGGCATGTTGCCTGGTTCCCAAGTCATGAGTTCAGTACTGCAGTATCTATTCAGTGAAGTATAAACTAAAGAGCATTTGTCAAAACAAATGGTACGTAATATTTTTGTCTTCTTTAGGGCTCTGGAACTTCATCCATTCTCAATGAAACCTCTTCTGCGGCGGGCAATGGCCTATGAAACTCTGGAGCAGTACGGGAAGGCTTATGTGGATTATAAAACAGTGTTGCAAATAGACTGTGGACTCCAGCTAGCAAATGACAGTGTTAACAGGTAATTAATCTAGGCAGCTATCTAAAATCTGGTTGTTTTATTCATTTGTCCCTCCCCCACCTGCAAGAACATGTAGCAGTATAGATGTGTTCTCAGTTACTTCCAGCACCTGAATGATTGCCTTCTTTTACTCCATTAAATCAAATGGTTCTCTCCCTTAACACCTTTGTATTTGTTTTATGTTCCATTTATTACTGTTCAATGAATATTCTTCTTTTTGTCTTGGTAACACAGGATATAACTCATGTGCTGCTTAAGAATATGAGGTGATGAGAAGGTGTTTGCATTGATGTCATAAATCAGCACTGGTAGCTGGTGTGCTGGCTGATGCCTGTAATCCTAGCACTTTGGGAGGCTGAGGAGGGTGGATCACTTGAGGTCAGGAGTTCAAGACCAGCCTGGCCAACATGGCAAAAGCCCATCTCAACTAAAAATATACAAAAATTAGCTGTGTGTGGTGATAGGCACCTGTAATCACAGCTTCTCAGGAGGCTGAGTCAGGAGAATTGCTTGAACCAGGCCTGCAGAGATTGCAGTGAGCCGAGAACACACCACTACACTCCAGCCTGGGTGACAGAGCAAGATTCCATCCCCCCCAAAAAATAAATAAATAAAATAAATCAGTACTAGCTACAGAAGAAGATCCCAAAAATGTAGTGAAAACTGCTGTGTTGAATCATCTGCTCCCACAGGATTTGCAGGTGTTCACTGGCACCATGTCTGTCAGTGGAAACATATCTGTTGCTTCTCCTTAGGAGAACGATGTCTTCATGACCCTGCTAGATATTTCCGTTATATGCCCTTGTAAATAGACACTCACCTAGGATGAGTAGTAATTTATAATGGTAAAATAGCAAAGAATTTGGATCTAATTTATAGTATGACCTATTTACCCCCAGCATGAGAATGGGAAGGTTCCAGACTTCATCAATTGTTTTCTGGTGAAATGTGAAAATTGCTAGTTGGATAACATTTCTATTTATGTATAATAGTTCCTGATCCCATTTGCTTAAAGTGTAATTTCTGAAATACTTATATGTTACACTGTGCCCTGTACTGGTCTAGTGGACCCCACCCAGCTCCCTTCAAAAAAGAAAAAAAAAGGGGGGGAAAAACGACATGGTCTCTATATTTAAGCAAACTACTAGAATATAGCTGGGGAGAAACTGTACAGCAGTTTATCCCCAGGCTGGGGGAAGGAGATCACAGAGAGGCCACGCCAGCTTTGTCTGTATGGGCTGCACTTGTTCCAGAGAGAACACTTAAGGGGGGCTTTGAAGGACCCTGACAGAACGTGAGGAGACCTTAAACAAAATTGTTGGAATGAGAATGGTAATTCAAGGTAAGTTTTAAAATCAGACCTTACCTTCCCATGTGGTTCTAGCCGTGCTGGAAAGATATATAGGCAGAGCTGACAACTGTTCTCTTGGTGGTCACAGGGAACCTGTCTGATCCCAGCCTGCCTAGAAGAAAAGGACATACATCCAATATCTGTGATGGGGTGAGATGAGACTGAACCTCAGACACTCACAGCCTCCTTGACCTTGAGCCTCCTTGGCCTTGACCAGGCAGCCTCACCTGGCCACCACCCATGGCAGGCCATCTGCTGCTTCCTTTTATGTGCCCACAGGCCCTTTCCTCTTATTGTCTGTGAATTCCTTCTCATCCATCAGGAAAGGACTTGCCTCCTCTAGGAAACGACTTTCCCTGATCCACAGTCTCCCTACCCCACAGGTGCACCTTAAGTTCCCTTTCTCGGTGCCCCCATAACACTGGGCCCTCGTTTATTACCCAACTTCCATAATGTTCTTACACTCACTGTCTTTCTCTGTAGAATTATTTTCCTGTGGCTCTAGTGGTTGTTCCCTGAGGTCAGAAATTGTGTTTTTCACCTTTGTCACTGCAGTGCCTCTGATGGTAGACATCCTCGATAAAACTGAGTGCATTCTCAAACACAGAGCTCAGGGTTTACTCCTGTGCTTCTGGGCATTGCTTGTTGCTTTTAATTTGCCCCATCCTCAGCTTGGTAGTTTTCAAGGTAGAGTTGGAGAAACTAAGATCTCACAGTGTTAGAGGTTCTCATGAAACAGGAAGTGGGGAGACATTGGAAGTGTATGGCAGAGAGGAGGGCCTGATGAAAAGGCATTTTAGGAACTGTAGTTAATAGTAGGCTAAGTGGTTGAAGGGAGAAATGGGTCTGAGAGACCATGATTACTCATATTTCTGACCTTTTTGCATTACAGTTTTTCTAAAAAATTGAGGTAGAATTCATGAACATAAAATTAAGGGCATACAAAGCAGTGGCAATTTGTACATGCACCATCTTGGGCAGTCATCACTTTCTAGTTCCAAAACATTTCTGTCACCCCAAAAGGAAGCCCTAGACCCGTAAACAGCCATTCCCCATACTCCTTTCCCCCGAGCCCTGGCAACCACCAATCTGTGCTGTGTCTCCATGAGTTTATCTGTTCTGGATGTTTCATCCAAATGGAATCATACATGACCTTTTGTGTCCTGCTTCTTTCACTCAGAGTAATGTTTTCAGGGTTCATCCATGGCACAGCAGGGATCAATACTTCATTTCTTTTTATGGCTAACATTCCATTATATGCATGTATATATCACATCTTGTTTATCCATTCACCAGTTGATGGACATTGGGTCATTTCCACCTTTTGGCTGTTGTGAACAGTGCTGCTGTGAACATTCATGGACAAGTCTCTGTTTGCATACTTGCTCTCAGTTCCTTTTGGTATATGCCTAGGAGTGGAATTGTTGGGTAATTCTATGCTTAACTTTTTGAAGACTGTATTATATTTGTTATATGTACTCAAGAAGGTTCATTGACTTTTAAGTAATTGACTTTTAAGACTCAGTCATTTTTCTTTTAAATGGAATCGTTCTTGTTGATATTTTGTTGATGGAGGAGGCTTTGGTTTTGCCATGTATATTTTTATATACAATATCTGTTTAAATTTTTTCACTATTCCTTATTTGTGAATCCCATATTTATGCTTGCTTTTCCATCTATTCCAATTCATTATGGAAAATTAAGCAGCAGCCACCTTTTTTTTTTTTTTTTAATTTAAACGTCTGTGTTTATTTCGTTTTGTCTTCCATTAACCATATTCCTCTCTTCCTCTCTAGGAATCTTATATGCTAATTTTCCCTGCATATACTTATTTATTCCCTGGCAACACATCATCTCTTTTCAGCTGCTTCTTCCTTCCTCTCTGCTGGTAATACGAGTTTTGCTTGAAAATTCTATTTTTCTGAAACTTCTTTTTCGTCTGCAATTCTGGGTGGTTATACATTAACTTTCTAATTTATTTTTTAACATTAAAACATAAGATTCAATTATAACCAAAGATCACTATTGAAATTTAAGTTTAAGAAACTATAAGGAAAGTATATGTATTACATTTGTCTATTTATAAATACAAAAGTTCTTCACACAAAAAGTATGAGAGACTAGAGTTAACTAACTTGAATTTACTCTACTAATTGCCAGTAAGCCATTTCAGTCTTAGGAAGCAGTTCTTTTTACCCAGATTTGTTCAAAAGACATAATTTTTAATTTTATTTTTAAATCTATGACATTTTGTGTGTTTAAAATAATGAAAAAGTGATCACTGAGGCTATCAGTCTAAATTTCATATGGCCGTAAGTAAATGTCATTAATAAAGAAGTCCTTGTGGTAGAACCTAGTGTCTTATTTTTTCATCTTTATTCGTATGAAAAGAGAATAAATAAATGGGACCAGGTGCGGTGGCTCATGCCTGCAATCTCAGCACTTTGGGAGGCTGAGATCATCTGAGGTTAGAAGTTCGAGATCAGCCTGGCCAACATGGCAAAACCTTGTCTCTACAAAAAATATGAAAAATAGCCAGGCATGGTGGTGCATGCCTGTAATCCCAGCTACTTGGGAGGCTGAGGCAGGAGAATCACTTGAACCCAGGAGGCAGAGGTTGCAGTAAGCCGAGATCGCCTCACTGCACTCCAGCCTGGGTGACAGAGTGAGACTCCATCTCAAAAACAACACAAACAAATGAACAAAAGAATAAACTGATAATTGTAGAGATGAAAAAAATACAGAGCAAGGAAGAGTATCTTAACCACATGTAAATGTTTTGAGAAAAAGCATTCTTCACATGACAGCGAGCCCTTAGCAGTGTTGGCAGCCAGTCTTGTACATCTGTTGCCAACCGCAGTGGTTGGTAATGTGGTTATCATAATGTACAGTTTGGGCATAGAAATTCTAAAATACTTCTGATCATTCTCAAGCGTAATACATTATCAATTTAGTAATGATATTAAATGTTACAGGAGACATTTCTTTTAGGCCTCCTAAATTTTCGTTTTATTTATATATTTAACTTCCTCAAAAATAAAATTTTATGTATATATTAAAATTTTTTAACAAATTAAAAATGTCTTAATTTTTTTGTTTTGATTAAAAATAGTCTAAGTTGCATCATTTATGGCAACTTGTAAAAATCTTTTTGAAAACAGTTTACGTGAACAGAAAATAGCTCAGGATTGCATGTTTTCTACAAGGAAGTACACATTTGCATAGCATTTGTAAATTTTAATCTGACCTTCAGTAATATAAAAAGTAAACTAAATGATAAACAGAAAATTCATTTTCTCTTTAGACTATCAAGAATTTTAATAGTGCTAGATGGACCAAATTGGCGGGAGAAGCTGTCACCCATTCCTGCTGTGCCTGCCTTTGTGCCACTGCAAGCTTGGCATCCGGCAACAGAGAAGATCTCAAACCAAGTAGGAAATTCCAGCAGCCATCACCAGCAGGCCATCACAGGTGGGGGACACCTACACTTACTTCTTCTGAAGGTTACCTTGAGCTGTGTGTGTACTTTCACAGTAAAGCAGAGATAAGAGCATGAATTCTAGAATCAGTCCTAGGTTTAAATGAAGTCCCTGTTCTCCATCTTTTATTTTTTAATTTTTATTATTACTATTTGAGACAGGGTCTTGCTCTGTTGCCCAGGCTGAAGTGCAGTGGTGTGATCTTGGCTCACTGCGGGCAGCCTCTGCTTCCTGGGTTCAAGCAATTCTCCTGCCTCAGCCTCCTGAGTCACTGGGATTACAGGCACGTACCACCACACCTGGCTAATTTTCACAGGTTGTTTTTGTTTGTTTGTTTGTTTTTAAGTAGAGACAGGGTTTCACCATGTTGGTCAGGCTGGTCTCAAACTCCTGACCTCAAATGATCTGCCTGCCTTGGCCTCCCAAAGTGCTGGAATTATGTTCTCCCTCTTTAATACTATATGGTCTTAAGAAATTGCTACATACCTCCTGTGTCCTACTAGTATACATGTAAAAGCGTTTTTTTTTTGAAACAGGATCTTGTTCTGTTGCCCAGACTGGGTTGCAGTGATGCAGCCTTGGCTCACTGCAGCCTCGACCTCTTGGGCTCAGGCAATCCTCCATCCTGAGTAGCTGGGACTACAAGTGTGTGCCACCATACCTAGCTAGTTTTTTGTTTTTTTTTTTTAATAGAGACGGGATCTCATTATGTTGCCCAGGCTAGTCTCAAATTCCTGGGCTCAAGTAATCCTTCTGCCTCAACCTCTGAAACTGCTGGGGTTAGTAGGTTTGAGTTGCCTAGCCTGTGTGAGATCTTTTGAAACATGAAATATTCTGTGATTTGAAATAAAAGATGAAAAGTAACTAATACTTTATACAATTTGTGCAGAGGGACAAATAAGATTATTGTTTACATTCTGAGTTTATATTATAAATTTAGGGGGCTGGGCATGGTGCCTCTTAGAAGTAATCCCAGTAGCTTGGGAGGCCATGGCAGGAGGATCACTTAAGGTCAACAGTTCAAGACCAGCCTGTGCAATAAAGCAAGGCCCCATCTCTACCAAAAAAAAAAAAAAATTGGCTGGGTGCAGTGGCTCACGCCTGTAATCCCAGCACTTTGGGAGGCTGAGGCAGGCAGATCATCTGAGCTCGAGTTTGAGACTAGCCTGGGCAACATGGCAAAACCCATCTCTACTAAAAATACAAAAATTAACTAGGCATGGTCCCAGCTACTTGGGAGGCTGAAGTGAGAGGATGGCTTAAGCTCAGGAGGCAGAGGTTGCAGTGAGCCAAGACCATGCCATTGCACTCTAGCCTGGGCAACAGAGCCAGACCCTGTCTCAAAATAATAATAATAATAATAATTATAAATTTATCAGAAGATTTTAAGATTGCAAAATTTAAAGGTATATTTTAAATTTTAATTTATGGATTTTTATTACATATCAAATTATTCCATAGGATAAACTTACTACCTAGGTTTCAAACTTTAAATTTTAATATTTTGTGTATGTTTGAAAACTTTGGTTGTAAGTAACAGAAAATCTGTTGATGTAAAGTATAAGGGATAGTCTTGGCTCATGTCACTGAAAATGCCTAGACAGGTTGTAAATCAAGCACAGCTCATCAAGGCCTAGGCTGTAGCAGGAAACAATAGAACTGTAGCAGTTTTAGGCTTTACATCTGCATCAGTGTCCAGAGACAGAGAGAAACCATTGCTTTTGGTGACATTAATTTAAGAATGAAGAAGTGCATTGCCCCAAAGCCCAGACTTTTAATTCTGTTATTCTGTTCAACTGAGTTCGGCCATGTGCCCATCCCTGAGTCAGTCTCTTCGATGAGGAAATGCCCTATGCAGATTGGCTTAGACCTGGGGTTCTGATCAGTGAGGTCAGCCTCCCCTGAACACGTGGTCTGAATTGAGAGGGGTGATAGCTGAATGAATATTGAGGTCCCAGAAATAGATTCTGAGCAGGGTGTCAGCCATGTTCACTGCAAAATAATGGGGATAGTCTATAATTCTGGTAATGAACAGTTCAGATTCTGATTGCAGATAACAGAGAGCCCAACTTGAAATGCCTCAAGTGAGCAAAAAGCTGTTTATGGCCACTTATTATGGACAAGTCCACAGGTGGAGTAGCTGCAGGGATGGCTGGATTCAGGACTCAGAGACTCCAGCTCTCCATCTTGGCCTCTTCATTTCTCTGTTGGCTCCATTCTCACACCATCCTGTTTTATTTGCCATCCACAGGATGGCAAAATTGCCCCTCCTTTGAGCCTTAAATCCCACAGGAAAGAGCAAGAATTACTTTATAAGAATCTTTCAAGAACATTTGATCAGCTCTCATAGACCCATCCTTGACCAATTGGATTATCGTGGCCATTGGACCATGATGTGCTGATTAATCAAATGATTATCTCAAAGGTTAGGGCTGGAGTAAGGTTTGCTTCACTTAAACCAAAGGAGCAGAGAATGGAAGAGATGTGATTTCCCAAGGAAATTTGGGGTGCTGGATAGATGTCCACTTCAGGCTTTAAGAGGAATGTTCACTATTCACAAAATAGTTGCCGAGCAGAACACTGTAGATATTTGTATCCCATTTTATTGACTGATTCTCTTGCATCCAAGCTTAACCAAAGATATGGAGTGCTCCTGTACCACTGTAAAAGCGCTGCATGAGGCAGCATAGATCGAGATGACAGAAAACACTGTGAGGGTTGCAAATTCACATGTGCAGCCTTCTTGGAGACTCTGCCTCTTGTCATATAGTCACCTGAGCCCTGGTAGCACTGTTTGCTTAATTCTACCATCTCTAAGGCGGTTCTGGCCTCTGTTACTGTCTCTAGAATCCCAGTAGAGAAAAGGTATGCCAATATGGACCAAATGACAGAATTATTACTTGTGTCGTATTTTCTAGTTAGAAAATAATAGTACCATAATTATACAATTATTTTTACCTATAGCCTATTTGTCATTTTAATTGTCTACAAAATTTTATTCCGTTTAGATTTTAGCTCTGCATGCTATGTGATCGAATTAATTTGCAATAGAAGATATACTTATAACTGCACTTAAGATTTTGTAGAGGTGCTTGTACAAATACTTCCTTTTTTGTTTTTTTGTCCTATAGATGAAAAAACATTTAAAGCCCTTAAAGAAGAAGCAAATCAATGTGTAAATGACAAAAACTATGAAGACGCCCTCACTAAATACAGCGAATGCTTAAAAATTTACAATAAGGAATGTGCCATATATACAAACAGGCAAGTTCTTTGTAACTTTATATATTTATTATGTTAATAGTTTTGATTATTAAAAATATTTTAAAGAATATTAAGTAATTGCCAAAGTTTTTTGTGATGGTTCTAGGAATTTCCATAGCAAGCTGTCCTAACCAAGTATTTCTGAAAGAGGTGAGGCCATGGGAGTTGTAGAGAGACTGGAAGCCTGAGGTGTGGGTGGGATGAGAGGTCTGACGTAGTCTGTGCTACCAGGTTCCCAAAGGCGACTGTGGCTGCTTTGGCTTGTGCGGCTCTGATTCGGCATTTCCTGACCAGCCGGCCTCACTGCAGTTAGCTGGGTCTGGGCATTGTCCAGCGTGGGAGGAGCAGGAATCAATGGCCTTTCAAAATAGTGTCTTATGGAGACTGCCCTTTTCCTTCTGGAGTGCTGCAGGAAGGCTCCAGCATCTTTTATAGTGTGCAGCAGGAACGGGCAGATTGTTGCTCACATACCGTCTTTACCATGTGGTAAAACATACCTATATAGGCTGGGCATGATGGCCCATGCCTATAATCCCAGTACTTTGAGAGGCTGAGGTGGGCAGATCACCTGAGGTTGGGAGTTCGAGACCAGCCTGACCAACATGGAAAAACCACTACTTTACTAAAAATACAAAATTTGCCAGGCATGGTGGTGCATGCCTGTAATCCCAGCTACTCAGGAGGCTGAGGCAGGAGAATCACTTGACCCTGGGAGGCAGAGGTTGTGATTAGCCGAGATTGTGCCATTGCACTCCAGCCTGGGTAACAAGAGTGAAACTTCGTCTCAAAAAACAAAAAAGATACCTATATAGAATATGGTGATAGAATATTAGACAAAAGATGTCACTAAATCCAACAGATGTTTTCCTGCCCTTCTCCTGTTCAGCCTCTGCAGGATCGGGCACTATTGGCCATTCAGTTTCCTGTGAAGCGTCCTCCTCTTGGCTGCAGAGGAGGAGGAGGCAGGCAGTTCATTGCCTGGTTCTCATCCTCTCCCTTTCCTTCTGCAGGCTTTGCTTTCCCTGGAATTCTCTTAGTTCTGAGGGTCTAGGTCCCTTTTCCTTCCTCCCTACTCTGGAGGCCACTTCATTCTCTCCCCAGCTCCACATACTGCCTTACAATGATGTCGCCCAAATCTCTTGTCTTCTGAGCTCCAGACTGAAGTGCTCCCTGTCTCTTCTGCACTCAGGGCTGGACATCATCCCTGACCTCTCTTTTCTAGACAGCAAGCTTGGATGCTCCTACCTTCTAAATCCCAAATCCATCTTCAGCATGACCCTTTCTGTCTCCCCACCACCACCCCCATCATTCCATCATTCCCTTGCTCTGGGCCACTGTTGTCCCCTCCTAAATGTCCACAGCACCCTCATGGTGTCCTTGCACAGCTTTGTTCCCTCTTGTCTCATTCTCCAAGCTGTAGCTAGAGGGACTACCGAAAACATGACAAACATGTCAACCCCTGTTAAAAACCCTTCATCGAGGCCGGGCACGGTGGCTCACGCCTGTAATCCCAGCACTTTGGGAGGCCGAGGCGGGTGGATCATGAGGTCAAGAGATCGAGACCATCTTGGTCAACATGGTGAGACCCCGTCTCTACTAAAGATACAAAAAATTAGCTGGGCATGGTGGCGCGTGCCTGTAATCCCAGCTACTCGGGAGGCTGAGGCAGGAGAATTGCCTGAACCCAGGAGGCGGAGGTTGCGGTGAGCCGAGATCGCGCCATTGCACTCCAGCCTGGGTCACAAGAGCGAAACTCCGTCTCAAAAAAAAAAAAAAAAAAAAAACCCTTCATCGGACTTGCATTAAGCTCATTTTATAAAGCTTAGCCTCCTTGCCATGACTTACAAGACCCTTCATGATCTGCCCTGCCTGCTCTTCCAGCTTCATTCCTGCATTCTAGCCATACGGAACTCTTCTTAGTTCTTCAAGAACACCATATTCTCTTGTACTATAGGTCTGTACACTCCCTGTGTCCTTGGCCTCCACTCTCCCCTACTCTGTCTGAACTCTCTCAACCCACTGTTTGCATCAGATAATTCTTAACTTCATACTCTGTATTTCAACTTAAATGTCACTTCCTCTAGGAAGTCTTCCCTGCCTGCTCTGCCCCTTGTCTCAGCCCCACTGAATCTGATATAGTTCTCAGCATGTGTTCCCAAAGTTCTTTGCACAGATTTGATTGTGTTCTCTTGTTTTAATACTGTCTCTTCCACCTGACTGCATCCTCCTTGAGGGCTGTGACTGTATTTTGTTTGCGGTTGTATCCCAAGTGCCATAATTGAATCAAATGTTATAATGGAAACCACTGTGGTATAGGAAAAGACTTACTGAGCTATTTTCTGATTTTTCTTAGCTGTCTAAACTTACAGATATCCTATCTTTACCTTTCATAATACTGAGTTCTGTTGCATTATGCCAGAGCTCTCTGTTACTTGAAGCTGTGCCAGTTTGAAGCGGCAAAGCAGGACTGTGATCAGGCACTTCAGCTAGATGATGGGAACGTGAAAGCGTGCTATAGACGAGCTCTGGCTCATAAAGGACTCAAGGTGAGGAAATCTTCATTTTGATGCATAAACTTCAGTTCTGAACAAATCAAATATTTTTCACATGCATAAATCTCCAGATCTTGGGATGGGACTGGGGTTATCCTGGGATTTAATCCTAGTATTGTACTAACCAGTTCTAAAATCTTGATATAGGCCTCAGATTTCACCCCTAATTATAATGTTAAACTAGATCACTTCCAAGATTCTTTCCAGCTCAAAAATGATGATTTGTTCTCTAGTTTTCTGAGGAATATTATTAGTTATAGTAGGTTCATTTTAAGGTACAGGAAGACTTGGTACTGAATTACCGAAAGCTAGCGGTAATGCCGCTGGTCCCTCCAGCAAGGACAGGAGTTGGAGGTTGGGTGGGGGAGGCATCAGAATGGAGGATGGTTCACCAGAAGTTCAGAGAGACACATCGGGGACTTGAAGGCTTATAGCGATCTGGGCCTTTAAGCCCAGATGGTCAGTTTAAGTCTGTAGAATGACATTCTTCTCTAAGAAAACCACACCATTAGTTTAAAAGAAAGTGGATATTGTATAATTACACTTTTCTTCATGCAGATTCTTCTGCATGGAAGTCCTGATGAATGAATGTTCATATTTATAGAAAATAACATCACAAGGAAAAACCAGAACATACTGGAAAATGGTATTTCCTGAAATAATTTTTAAAACTCAGCTTTATTAAGGTATAATACAATGACGTTCATACGTTGTAAATGTGCAGGTCATTGCCTTTTGATACGTGCCTACCCTCTTGTAGCCACTATCCCAATCAAGATAAAGAACATTTTCTTCCAAAGGTGGTGTGTGCTAAAAGTAAAAAAAGTTTTCATTTTTCTAGAAAGTTCTCTGCACCCCTGTACAAAAAAATCTCCCTCTCTCCACCCCTACCCTCAGGCAGCCATTCATCCCATTTCTACCACTATAGATTAGTTCTGATTCTTTTGGGTATTACCATAAATCATATACAATGGACTCTATTGTTCGGCTTCTTTCAGCATAACCTGAGATTTGTTTATACCGTGTAGTTATCAGGAGCTGTTCCTTTGTATCACCGCATTGTATGAATATATCACAATTTGTGTATATATTCACCTGCTGATGACACTTAGGTTGTTTCCAGTTTGGGGCTGTTAGGAATAAAGCTGCTGTGACATTCTTGTGCACATTTTTTATAGATAGACTTATTTACAAACTGTACAGCTGGAAGCCAGATGTGACTAGGAGTGGGGACTGAGGGAGATGATCAGATCCTGAGGGGCTTGGTAGGCCACGCTGAGGAGGCTGGACTTGATTCTGAAGGTGATGGAGCCTCCAGAGTGGGGTGAATGGTGGCATAATGGATTGGATTTGGGGACCTCACGGAAGGTTGATCAGAGGGGCGCAGCATGAGGAGAAAGGTCAGTGAGAGATCAGCAAGGTAAGAAGCAGATACCTGAAGGAAAATAATGTCCAAGGAAAGAGAGAAGTATGTTAACTGCTGTGGCTGCTGTAACAAAGTGCCACAGACTGGGTGGCCTGAAAAACAGAAATCTATTCCGGAGGCTGGAAGTCTTGGCTCACGGTTTAACAGGGGTGGTTTCTTCAGAGCCCTCTGTCTCTGACTTACAGATTCTGTCCTCTCCCTATGTCTCCATATGGCCTTCCTGTGTGTGTGTACGTGTGCGCGTGTGCGTGCGTGCTCAAATCTTGTCTTTTTATAAAGACATAGGAAGGGCATCTTTCTTGGACTAGGAAGGGCCTACTGATTTTAACTTGATTGCCTCTTAAAAGGACGTGTCTCCAAATATGATTACATTTTGAGGTACTGGAGGTTAGAACTTCAACACAGGAATTTCTGGGGGGACATAGTGATGGAGGGGATGTCTCCCAGGTTCTGGCTGGGTGGCTGAGAGGAACAGTGTGATAATGGGAAGCCTTCAGGATGAGGGAAGCTTGGGGGTGGGAAGAGGATTGTTTTGACTGATTGAGTCTGAGACAGTTGTAATTCCATGCCTGTCACTGAAAGGGAACTGTCTGGGTTCTGCAAGGAGAAGAGTAGTCGTGTTGTTGCATAGTTTAGCAAATGAGAACCACCTGGGTGCATTGAAATGTCCAGCTTTTCCAGATCCTAGATCCACTCCAGCTGCAGTGCAGTCATGCTTGCACGTCCTGCCAGGAACCCCATGCTGCCCTGTGACCTCCCGGCTCCATGCTGACGAAGCCACACAGTGTCCATGTAATCCAAACACATGCCTCCCCCCACCCCCCTTTTGTTGGTTAGCAACACACTCATTTGTAAACCTCATGTAAAAATCTCCTAGATGGTATGTGGCACCAGATATTAAGAGACTCCTTCAAAATGTACTCGCCTCTTTGAGCTTAGTAGATTTGGTAAATGAGGATCTGCGTGACTCATGAGTTTACAAATGGTTAAACTCTTGGAGCACAGTTAGCTCTTAGTGGCTACCTGACTCTCTGAACCTTGTGAGCTGACAAAAGGTCAGAAGCTGCGCCTAATGAAAGACTGGACTTTAATACTTCATTGGACTTTTCTATTTCTTTGGAATGAATTCCAGAAATTATATTATGATGACAAAGATAATCCAATCCAAAATTTGAGTAATCCTATTCTAGTAGATTATGAGGCTAGTAGCTTATAGCTTGATTTGTTGTCTAGTAATTTGAGGTATATGCCGAGTGAATTTAATTTCAGAATTTTAAAAACTGTTTAAGAGAGACAGGGTCTTGCTATGTTGGCCAGGGTTGGTGTTAAACTGGCCTCAAGCGATCCTCCTACTTTGGCCTCTCAAAAGCGTAGATGTGAGCCACTATGCTTGGCCTAATTTCAGGGTCTTCAAAGGCTACAACTGCTTATAGAATGTGTCAGAACTCACGCCCAGGCCTGTCTGCCCAGCATGACTGCAATGAGGAAGTGGCACAGGGGCTCACAGTAGCAGATGCCCTGGCTTTAGTTCCTAGCTCAACACTATGCCTTCCTCAGATCTTTTGTTTTCTGACTTTAATAGTGATTTTTAATGGTGCCAGCTTTGAAAAGTATGAGCTTTCTTTAATGTACAGCTGTTCTTTGTAAGAAAAGATCTCTGAATATTTTGCTTTTATTTACAATTTATTTCTCTTATTGATTGCCAGTTATGTGCTAGGTGTTAGTATAGAGGTGAATAAAGACATGGTGCCGAGGGAATTTACACTTAACAGAGGAAGCTGCAAGGTCCACCCAAAGAGGATGCTGTAGAGGAGGATGCATACAATTGTTATGTATCAATATAAATATCAAAAAGAGTATCTTGTAAAATAACTATTGCTTTTATGGTTTCATCAAGTCTATTAATGGTAAATACTGTCACAAACACATGTGATTACAATACATCCTTTTTAAAAGGCCTAATAGGGTTGTTAGCAACTTTTAATGCCTTCTTCCTTTTGTTAAAGTCACATTTTCTGATTTGCTGTTGTTTGTTGTTTATTTCTGAGACAGAGTCTTGCTCTGTCACTCAGGTTGGAGTGCAGTGGCATCATCTTGTCAGGTTGGATTGCAGTGGCATGATCTTGGCTCGCTGCAACCTCCGCCTCCCTAGTTCAAGCGATTCTCCTGCCTCAGCCTCCCAAGCAGCTGGGACTACAGATGTGCACCCGGCTAATGTTTGTATTTTTAGTAGAAACGGGGTTTACCTGCATTGGCCAGGCTGGTCTCAAACTCCTGACCTCATGTGATCCACCCACCTTGACCTCCCAAAGTGCTGGGACACACTTTCTCTTTGTATAAGCTCTGCTCTTCCCTCTACACTGCATGGCTGGATTCTCTTCCAGTCTTGACTACTCTGACCACTGTAGCTGTAGAAAAAGGAGCTCCCTCATTAGTATCCATCTCAACCTTTAGTTTTTTTCATGGCATCAATGACAGTCTGTAATTATTTATTCATTTGTTTACATGTTTTTAATTGCTTCCCCCCATAGGATGTAAGCATCCATAAATGCAAGGCCTGTGTCTTTCCTGCTGTGGTCTTCTTAGTTCCTGGCACATGGACATGCTCAGAGATCATCTGTGAAGTGAATGAGCTCCGCCCCTCTTAGCTGCCTCCTTGCCCAATTCTGTCTCCACCCTTGCTGCTATTCTGCCCTCTCTTCATGCTTGTCTGCAGTGCTAACACTTGTCAACGTGTACTTCTTTTTTTCTTGTGTCTCTCAACCAGTCAGGCTGCTCTTTAGGCAGAGACTTTCCAGATTCACGAAAATGATCGTATTGACTCCGAGGGTGTTGAACTTCCATTTCCAAGGCTCACAGGGTCTCACAGGTCTCTATTTCCAGCCCTTTCCCTTGAGCGCCACACCGTGTAATCATCCACCTTCTGGTCACTGCTGCTGTGACCATCCCAGAGATCACTTCTTTAGGCCTCAGTTTCTTCATTTTTAAAATGGGAACTATAAAAGTTAGTATTTATGGGGCTACTGTGAGAGTAAAGTAATACATGTAAAATGCTCAGAATGGTTAAGAATTAGCTTTCATTACTTCCTCAACTTGGCTGCTCTTTAAATATGTCCCTTTTGCTCTGGTGCGTTGTTGTGGGGGAGGGGAAAGGCATGTGGGATTACAGCTAGTCCCCAGGAATGTCACATAATCACTAGCTCAGCTTATCTGTGCTCAGCCTCTTGTGCATGCAGTTACTGATGTGTCATGAATACTTAAAGAGGTTACACACCCTTGCAATTCTTTGCCTCCTTGCAGTTTGGTTTAATCAAAACATGGGTCTAGTCTGTAGTTTAGAACATAACGAGTTACAGCAGACTGGCTTTGGGGCATCTGTCTCTGCTACCGGATTCAGCAGTCATGTCTTGTTAGATTCCCTTTCTTTCCCCTCTACTTCTTGAATGTATTGTCTGACTCATGGAATATTAAATGTAGACTCTAGCCAGTTTTGAACAGCAAACAACCCAGAAGGAGTTTATGGAACAAGAGTATGATAATAACTACCATTTGCATAGTCCTTTACAGCTGTAAGCCACTTACTATTTATTCATTTACTTCTCCGTACAGCCTTGTGAAAATTTGAATAGAGCTTTTGTTACCCTTAGGTTAAAGATGAGACAACTGAAGCCCAGAAAGGTTAAGTAGGATCTTAAGTTTCATTGCTAGTAGGTGCCAATACAAGGATGGGTTCATTCTTTCGTTTATTCATTCAGCAAGCAACAAGTGCTTACCGTGTATTAGGGACTGGGAAGGTTGTGGTGATAAAGAATTTAACTTTTCTAACTCCAGATCCTGTGCTTTTTCAAAATCTCTAGAAGATGTTCACTGTGTTATGGGTCATAATATTTGAGCTGCATGCTCACCCCATAGGCTCACTTTATAAAAGTGGTACTAATGTGGATCCTGCACACGTACTGCATAACTCACTTCATCAACCTCACTCCCAGTCAGGTTACTCTAGGCTCCTTCTATGAAAGTTATTTTCTCTATCTTCCTACTTACAGAATTATCAGAAAAGTTTAATTGATCTCAATAAAGTTCTCCTACTAGACCCAAGTATTATTGAGGCGAAGATGGAACTGGAAGAAATAACTAGACTCCTTAATCTTAAGGATAAGACAGCATCATTCAACAAAGAAAAGGAGAGAAGGAAAATTGTGATTCAAGAGGTATTTGTATTTGATTTTCTTTGAAAGTACTCTTTTGGGGACCTTAGTCTGGATTCTAAGGTCATATTCCTAGGAGTTCTAGAACATTTTTAATATTGCGTTTTCATTCTGATGATCAGTGCCAAAATTTTAACCAGCAACAAAACATCTCCTTTGCCATGATAATTAGCCATTGTATTTCCCAACGTGGATCCACAGATGGTAATGGGAGTCTCTGCATTACTGGAGTTCTTCCTTTCGTTGGCTTCCATCTGTACTGCTCCCACTCCAGAGTATACTGGGAACCGATGGCCACTGACTTTGCTCCAGGGTAGACCTGGAGACTCCTGACGGGACTGATGTAGTTAAGGGGGCCCTGCAAGCCTCACCTGGTAGAGATTTTCCAGATTGATTGAGACCTTTTTAGCACTCTATGACTGCCTCATCAGAGATCTCCAGCTGCCTCAGGATCAAACTGCCTTTGTGATTCAGATAACTAAAATGTTTTTCTTTGCCTAATATTAGGGAAGAATGTCAGGCTGTGAATCCCTGTACATTCATGAATGCTAATACCCCATCGATAATCTTACATTTCCACCAAGAGTAAGAGGCTAGTATGTAAGAGAAGCTAGGAAGGTTTTTTTTCCTCTTTAAAGAAGGGAAGAAAAAACTGTTTTAGGAGAATTCAATGTAAACTCATTTCTCTGTTAAAATGTATTGTGAAAAAGAGATAAAACTGACATAGACCTTTATGCAAGTTGTATTAATGGAAAGTTCCAAAAATTAAATTTTGTCATAGTTTCAATGTCAAATAGTGTTTTAAACTTTTATGAATTGGATCTTACACCCTAAAATTTCTCTTCCTAAAAGAAATTACAAATTTTTCACTTGGAACTGGACTACAATACAGTCTACTTGTAGTTCTCAATTCTCATGCTGACAAACATACTTAGGATGTGTGCGGTGACTGTAGCTTAGTGTCTCAGTGCGTTTTTTCCTCATGAAGGTGAATGAAGGCAATGAGGAGGAGCCTGGAAGACCTGCAGGGGAGGTCTCCACAGGATGCCTAACTTCTGAGAAGGGAGAGAAAAGCAGTGGGTCACCAGAAGACCCTGAGAAACTTCTGATAGCCAAGCCTAATAATGCCTATGAATTTGGTCAGATTATAAACACTCTCAGTACCAGGAAGGATAAAGAAGCCTGTGCACACCTTTTAGCCGTCACTGCACCAGAAGATCTGCCAATGTTGTTAAGTAACAAACTTGAAGGGGATACATTCCTCCTCCTCATTCAGTCTCTGAAAAATTATCTTATTGAAAAAGATCCCTCACTGGTGTATCAGCATCTTTTATACCTGAGTGTAGCAGAAAGGTTTAAGGTAAGTGGCTAAGTATTTTATTAATAGAGATTGGTTTTATTAGGGTGTCTGTAACTTAAACATGTTATTTATGCTAACACGGTTTTTTTTTTCTTCTTTTAGATGATGTTGACACTAATTAGCAAGGGCCAAAAGGAGCTCATTGAGCAGCTGTTTGAGGACCTTTCAGGCACACCAAACCACCATTTTACTTTAGAAGACATACAGGCCCTAAAAAGGCAGTATGAGCTTTAAATCAAGATTCTTGTTAGATTTCTTCTGTGCATGTGGGTGTTCCAGTAATGTTAATGAGATGGTATTGTAACAGAGTTGCATGGATAAAACCTGGCTTAGAAAAGATCTTTTGGCCTGGACTATAAAATATTCTACTTATTTTTATACATAGAACATGTATATTCTACAATCTGCTTTTTAATAGTTGTAAATATTTTCTTATGTACCAGAGCCAGATAAGTATATTTGGAACTTGTTAAAATACATTTTAATTTATAATATACACACTATTTTGATTAGCTGTTAAAATTTTGAGTTAAAGTTGCATTTCTTTGGGCAAGGAAGGAGTCCTCTTAAGTTTGATAGAAATGAATTTCTTTAACATTCTTTTTTTAAAAATGGAAGTCATTAACAGTGATTATTATATCACATATCCATCCTGCTGACACATAAATCCCATTTTGTACTAGTACTTGCAGATTACAATCAGTGAAAATGAAATGCAACACTGAACTCTATAACATGAAAATGATTACTAAATAAATTGTTTATTAATTTAGAGCTGTAAGAGGAACTTATTTTTCTAATATGGAAGCATTGCCTAATAATTAACAAAAATTGCCAAAAATTTTTACCACCTTTTACTAGATCTTAAAAAGCTACTTTCCTTTATATAAGCCAAAAAAAAAAAAAAACCACTGTATTAAAGCAAACTAAGCCTGCATTTATATCTGAATTATTACCCCCATATTTTACCAAAGATGTGAGTGTTCCCCTTCCCCCTTTTTTGTTTTCTGCTTTTATGACTGTATTCATTCCTCTACTGTAAAAGAACATGAAGAACTAATATATGTTGAAAGCTCCTTTGTTAACTGGGTTAAAGTGAGGGACTTTCGGTCTCTATCAGTGTACTGCCATTTATTCCTGTGGTCTATAGTCAGTTTCCCCTTTCTGGAGCATTTTTTTATTCACTTAGAAGTGAAGATGAAAGTTAATATCATGTCTACTATTCCCATATTCATTATTTAATATTTTATAGTTACAGAATATTTTAACTCATTTTGGGTAAACAGTACCTTTCAAACTGTGTCATTTTTCTTTGAAACTGCTTTCTTTGTTCATAAGTGAAACATCTGTAATGGGACTTTAGTTTTCAAACAAAATTTCTCCTTTTTAATGTTATTAAATTTTTATAAAGTAAATGGTGGATTGTGTTAGAAATGTATCCTACGTATGCAGTTTACTTAGAGAAATGGCACCACTCTTTTCCTATACATAGCAATTTGAGAGAACTTTTTTTTTTTGAAACCGAGTTTCGCTCTTGTTACCCAGGCTGGAGTGCAATGGCACGATCTCGGCTCACCGCAACCTCTGCCTCCTGGGTTCAGGCAATTCTCCTGCCTCAGCCTCCCGAGTAGCTGGGATTACAGGCACGCGCCACCACGCCCAGCTAATTTTTTGTATTTTTAGTAGAGACGGGGTTTCCATGTTGACCAGGATGGTCTCGATCTCTCGACCTCGTGATCCACCCGCCTCGGCCTCCCAAAGTGCTGGGATTACAGGCTTGAGAACTTTAGAGACACAAGGGAACTTTCTTTTCTGGTGCCTGACACAGTGATGTTAATAACTGCAGGTGATTTTGTTGAGCTTTGTGCTAGGCACTGTGTCTCATTTATCACACATTGTCTCATTTAATCTTCACAGCACTGCTACAGATGAGGAAACAATGGAACAGAAGGTTGTATAAATTGATGAGGATGTACAGATGTTGCAAGTGATCTCTCCGAGATCCAAACTGGGCAGTCTATCTTTTGAGTTCATATACTCTATTCAGGTGCCTATTCCTTAACAGTTACAGATGAGTAAAAGCAGTTTAGTGAATATAAATTTCCAATTTTGGTACACCAATGGAGGTAGTTATAGTGATAACACAGAGCAAGAGGAATGCCCAGGCCTGCCTGAGAGAGGGTTAGGAAAGGTTCCATGGGGCCCAGTAGTGCCACAACTGGAGTATGTCACTTGGATAACAGAAAAGGAGGTGCCAGGCAGAGGAAACAAGGTGCAAGTGCATCAAGGTGCACACTGAAGGTGTTAAAATTTTGAGTTAAAGTTGCATTTCTTTGGGCAAGGAAGGAGTCCTCTTAAGTTTGATAGAAATGAATTTCTTTAACATTCTTTTTTAAAAATGGAAGTCATAACAGTGATTATTATATCACATATCCATCCTGCTGAGACACATAAATCCCATTTTGTACTAGTACTTGCTGATTACAATCAGTTAAAATAAAATGCAACACTGAACTCTATAACATGAAAATGATTACTAAATAAATAATTAATTTAGAGCTATAAGAGGAACTTATTTTTCTAATATGGAAGCATTGCCTAATAATTAACAAAAATTGCCAAGTGAAAGTGTGCAGTCACTTGGCATTTTCAGAGAACTGCATGAATCTTAATATTACTAGAACGTGGTTTGTGTGACAGCTGGATAGAACAGAAAATTGCATGCTGCATATAAAATGGCAGAAAATATCAGCATTTTAATTGTACTCTGGCATTACCACTCTTAACTAATACCTAGTTTTCTTCCCCTTCTGGGCATACACAAGACTGTATTTTTCAGCCTCTTTGTAACTGGTTTGGGCTACGTGACCACTTCTGCCAGTAGGGTTTAGGTAAAAGTGATGTGTCCCTTCTGAGCCAAAGTACTCAAGACCTGGCCCCAGACTCTCCCTGATCTTTTCCCTTGCTTCAGTGACCCACAAGGCTTCATGTTGCAGACAGTGCAGTTACAAGATGATGGTGGCTCTGTCAGCCTGGTTCTTTGAATGCTGGTTGAGGCAGGGTTCTGCCAGTCCCCACTGGACATACAGAATGAGCAAGCTTATGCTTTTCTTGTTAAGGCACTGAGATTTTTATTGTTTGTAACTATATCCAAACACTTAACCTCTCAGCTGCTTCTGTATTTCTTCAGCCTGTAAATCTTTCCTGAGCTTCAACCTGTAAAGCCAACTTCAAACTGTTCATCTCTACACAGATGTCTCACAGATACCACAAATAAGCATGCCCTAAATGGATTTTCTCTGTTCCCTAATACTCAGGCTTCACTTATCCCATAGTTCCACAAAAGATACCAGCATTCACACTGGCCTAAGAAACCTGGGCTTCTAAACTTTTCTTGCTCTCAGTCCCCACATCTAATATTTCATCCTGGCAGACATTTCATTACACAAACATGGTACACTCACCCAAGAATAACTGCTTTTGCACAGGATGTCTTACCACTCTTTTGGTGTTTTTGAGGTTACTTGTCTGACATAAAATATCTGGTTCAGTTCTGTTTCCCATAGTGCTCAGCAAAATGCTGAGCATAATAGATTCAATAGGTATTCACTGACTGAATGATGTCTTGGTAATTTTATAATTATATTTGTGGGTACATATATTACCTAAAGTATTTTAGTGGAATGTCAGCACTTGTCATATCTAATTGTTTTGCCATAAATCGTGCATCTGGAAGGAGAAAAGTCTCAAAAGTAATTCTGTACAGAGTGTGGGTTATTTAATCATCAGAGCTTAACTCCTGCCTCAGGGACCTTATAAGCAAACTTTCTAGACAAAAGGGTGAAAGATAAAATATTAAAACAGAAAAGGAAAGGAAAGAAACTAAAAGCCCTTGAACTAAAACTATGTGACAATTATTTACTAGGTGTAAAACATCCGAGCAAATCACAGTAACTCTGGGCTTAAGTTTGCTTATTTTTAAATCTTAAGTATCATTTGGGCTGACAGGTTTGTTGTAAAATAACATGAAAATACTTCCTACACTGCACATGATATAAGAGACTATTACTATTTCTGGCTTGTGGGCAATATGAAAGTTCCCTGCGTACAGATCTTGAATGTAGGACTCCGCACCTCCTATGTCCAAGCCTCTTAATGTCTGGCCTCTGGAGTCGTTACCACATGCTCCCATGGTCACCCTCAGCCTCCTGACCTTAACTCAAGTAACAGACCATCCCATAGGCCTGCTCCAATCAGCTTCCCCCCCGACTCATCACCGGATCCCCTGCCTCCAACTGTTCTCTACTTAATGCTGACCCCTGATCTGATCCCTTCCTTTTCTTCTAGGACTTTCCTCTGAGAATAATACCTTCCCTTTCATGTCTGCAACACTCCCTTTTCATTGCTGCCACCCTGTCAGCCTAACCTACTCAGGTATTCCTCACCTAAAGAAAAGTCTTCCAAGCTTCCATCTTTCCCTATATCATTGCTTTAAAAAATGGATCTGTTTATAAGAAAAAAATGAAAAATAAAATAATTCTCTCTTTTCCCCACCTCTCATTGATTTGAAAGAATTTTGGCTTTTTCCTCCCACCATTATTTAAACTCCTGTCAACAACCTTGATCAAACCCAGCAGCCTTTTCTTAGTCATAGACTTGTATTACATTGTAGCCTGGAGAGAATTGTTACAGATTATCTCATCTAAATCCTTTCACTCATATTGAAGCCCAAATAAGAACGCACCTAGGGATATTGTGGATTGTGAAACGTCAAGGGCCTGTGACTTGTTTGGCCCTTTTGCTATCTGGGATTTGAGGGAAAAGATGAAATTTGGAAGGGAAAGAAGGCAAACCTTAAGGACAGCTATGACATTGAGTCTAGACAAGCTATCATATTTCTGAACTGCTCAGACTGAGCCGTAATCTAATCTAGGCAAATTCAGAGAGTGCCTCCTTCATGAGCAAGATCTTAAAATGAAAAGGCCTCTACAAATTGAGACTGCAAAATGATGGATGTACTGAGAATTTCGTTATTTGTCAGGAAAGCTTCAAAGACATGGAGCCTTAAGTTTAACCTTTTCATTGCCATTTCTTATGCATCTTGGTGAAAACTCCCTTTATCCTGCTGAGTGGTGGTACCCACTAGGAATAGTATACTTTGCACTAAAGGTCTCCCAGGAGGAAGTTCAGAAGGCTCAATTCTATGTTGTGTGCAGGGATTAAGCATGAGTTATAAGGGCACAGCATGATGTTAAAGGGATTTCAGATATATTATTTTCCAAAAACACATGGGTTTTGCTCTCTAGGAGAGAATGGAGCAAAGTGTGCACTTGGAATTTGTCTTACTTTCCTATTAGCCTGTAGGTACCACTCAGACCGAAAGGACCCCCTAAAAACTGATGTGCAAGTCACAGAATTCGCCTGAGCTCTAGCAAGGGATGTCTGTAAGGAGAAATCTAGCTTTAGAATACTACGAATTTTGTCACGTTTATAGGTTTTCTGCTTGTTTTTAGAGACAGGACCTTGGCTCTGTTGCCCAGGCTGGAGTGCAGTGGCATAATCATGGCTCACTGCAGCATCAATCATCTGGACTCAAGCAATCTTTCTGCCTTGGCCTCCTGAATAGCTGGGACTACATGTATACACCACCATGCCTATGGTTTTTTGTTTGTTTGTTTTTTGTAAAGACAGGGTCTCATTATGTGGCCCAAGCTGGTCTCAAACTCCTGGCCTCAAGCGATCCTCCTGCTTCAGCCTCCCCAAGTGCTGGAATTGCAGGCATGAGCCACCAAAACCATCCGAGTTTATAGGTTTTGATGCCTTTGCCAGAAATCAAAAGAAGTGGTTGGAAGTTAATTGATCTCAGAAGAATCAATGAAAAGCAAGAGACTATAACTCTAAGCAACTCTCCTTTTTCTCTGGGAAACTGCTTTAAAGAGCACAGACTTTGGCATCAGATACACCTGGAATCAAATCCCAACTCTACTTAGGAGCTGTATGACCTTGCAGCCTTCAGGTTCCTTGTCTGCAAATTGGGTTATCTTCTTACCATTTGGGGTTACTGGTTTATGTGGTTCATGTAAAATGCCTTCTGTTATTTGATAAGCACCTTAT